TATCAACCAAATTAAAAATTTTAGTTCAGTTAAAATTAATTACCTAAATAACCTAATATTTGTGAATTACCATTTGACAATTGGAATCGATTGTTAATAATTTAATGATTTGAATATAACAACCAAATTAAAAATTTTAGTTCAGTCAAAATTAATTTCCTCAATAACCCAATATTTTTGAATTACTCTTTAACAATTGGAATCGATTGTTAATAATTTAATGATTTGAATATAACAACCAAATTTAGAATTTTAGTTCAGTTAAAATTAATTACCTAAATAACCTAATATTTGTGAATTACTCTTTAACAATTGGAATCGATTGTTAATAATTTAATAATTAGAATATTATAATCAAATTAAAAATTTTAGTTCAGTCAAAATTAAATACCTAAATAACCTAATATTTGTGAATTACTCTTTAACAATTGGAATCGAGTGTAAATAATTTAATGATTTGAATATAACAACCAAATTAAAAATTTTAGTTCAGTCAAAATTAATTACCTAAATCAGAGGTGGGCAACCTCAGCTATGCTCGGAGCTGTAACCATAAAATTATTAAGGTTCCAATGGTAAGGGCCCTAACGTGATTACAAGGGTTGTCGTATATTTGTGTGGTAGGGTACCATCGAGCGATGGCGCACGCGCGTGATTGAAATGTGAGGGCAAAATGGTTTGAATTTTTATGCACGTGTTTGGACATTTTCTGTTTCATAAAAAAAAATGGAATTAAAAGATGATGATTTAGATTCAATATTCATAAGTGTAAATGAATGTGGAATGCTCATGAACTTGAGAAAGTAATATTTCATCGTCAATTAAAGATTGTGAGAAATTTGTTCATTAAAATTTGGCATCGAGAGCGGCAAATATAGAAATGAAAAATTTGAAAGTGTATGTCAATTCAGGTCTATTAACAACGTGGTAATATTTTATAATTGTTTCCCAAACAATATTTCAAGGTAAATGTCTAGAAAAGGGCCACCGTCCCGATTTTATTTTTTTATATGTGGGTTTATAGGTTTTTCCGTGCTAATTCCGAATCTACAAACCTCAGTCTCCGGAAACAAAAATTGTAGAAGTTACGCGCATTTTTATACCGCTCTTTGCGTTACCCAGGGCCACGGCGGGGACGTGGCGGTTGTCGGCCTCACAGACAACTCATGTTGTTACAATTAAGACAAGGGACAACACAAAAGGCAATATAAATGCTATCGATCCGCTGTTGGTCCCCCCCCCACCGTACCCCTGACAATACCAGTGTTGACGTGGGCCGTTGTACACGTCGCGACAATCTCCGCTGCCCTTCTGCAGCATTTAATATAAATTAGAATAATATAAACTATATTGTTTATATTCATTTATATAAAAATGTCGCGCCGGATCCAACGGCTCAACATCCCCACCGGCTGTCATATGCACAGCGGAGCGAGTGGCCAACATCGGATCTCTAACTTCATGATTTACAATTCAGTGTAATGTTTGGCTATGGTCTTGAAACACTCACCCAACCTGTTGTCGAAATCAACACTGTGTTTGAACATGTACTCACACAGATATCCGTGGTAATGTTCTTCCCTGGTGCCGTACCTCTGGAGTTGGTCCTTGAGGTCTCTCCATGATCTTTCAATATTTTGTGTGTGTGCCATTGTCACAGGATCCACAAAATTGATTGAGTGGTTGACAGTCAGATGTTGAAATCCTTCATGTTCTAGGCTGCTGTATGAACGCCACTGGTCAGAGATGATTGTTGTTCCTGGCAGAATCCACTCGTTGATGATCCCAACAAGGGTTTCTGCTTTCCGGTCCTTGACGGTGGTAATGAGGAGGGTTTTATTTCCTCTCTCATACGCCCCAAACACCCATTGCCCCTCTACAATACGTCCTCGGTTGTACTTCCTATGGCCGATTTTTGTTTCGTCGATTTCCACGACCTTGTTGGGTCCCCCCAACTTGGTAACGTGGTCCTCGCACCAGTCTATCATAATTTCCCTAGTGAAATTCGACCAGTCCACCACGGTTTGTCGTGATATCCCAAGTTCGAACTCTAATAGTTCTCGTCTTGGGGGATTCAATAGGACGTACATACCGATAAACCGCACGGCTGTCGCCAAGGAGATGTGTATTTCGGGAAACTAGGAACCATGAAGGTAGCTTTTCTTGGTGTCACATTTGCTTCTCTTCACTTTCTTGTTGGGGTCTTCATTACGTCTCCTCTTCGTGCACCGGAACATCATCTTCTGATCATACGACGTCATCAGTTCACCACATTTAGGACACTTCATCTCACTTTTCAACACTTTATTGTCACGCAAGAATTTAACGAACACCATAGGGTCATTGCCCATACTAATGATTTCAGCGATTCGCATGTTCACTACGGGTGCCGATCCTATACTGAGGGTTTTTCTTCCTCACACTTATTGTCGTCTTTACATCCATCGACTAACTCGCGTTAATCCGTAATCCTCTGTGTAAACACAGTTGATTACGGGGGATTTAAATTCGCGTTCGAATTTCGGGTTTATATTATTTGGTGGCCCTGTTCCAGACATTTACCTTGGAATCAATTGTTAATATTTAATTTCAATATAGCACCTAAATTTAATCCGTTAAATTAAAAATTTTCAGTGCTTCAATCTTCGAACATTTTAATCTTTAATTAATTACCTAAATAACCTAATATTTGTGAATTACCCTTTAACAATTAGAATCGAGTGTTAATATTTGAATTAAAATATTACCTCCAAATTTAAATTTTTTATGTAATATTTTTCAATAATCAACGTGAATGACTGAATAAAAACTAAAACATGAATATTTAAATTATATTTCGTGGAGGAAAATTACTATGATTAACTAACACATGTCAGAGAGACTTAAAACAGGTACCAATACTTTTGATTGCATCATTTGTTTGGTAATTATTAACATAAAAAAAAATCTTCAAAAAATGTTGTGAGCAAATGGCGCCAAGCCGACGCTAATTTCAACGCAAGATAGAAGCATGGGACAATAACTGCATCGATGAAATCACACAATTTAAAAAAAAATCATATAAATATTAAATTTAAAAAATCACAAAAAAATTTTGTGAAAAAATGGCGCCAAGTCGACGTGAATCT